ACAGCATCCTGGCCTGTATTAGAAATAGCATGGCCAACAGAACCAGGGAAGTGATCGTCCTTTTGTACTCTGCGCTGGTGAGGCTGCACCTCGAATATTGTGTTCAGTTTTGGGCCCCTCACTACAAGGAGGACATTGAGCTGCTGAAGTGAGTCCAGGGAAGAGCAACAAAGCTGGTGAAGGGCCTGGAGAAAAAGTCTTATGAGGAGCAGCTGAGGGAGCTGGGGTTGTTTAGCCTGGAGAAAAGGAGGCTGAGGGGAGACCTGATCGCCCTCTACAACTACCTGAAAGGAGGTTGTAGGAGGTGGGGGTTGGTCTGATAAGGCTGCTTGTTTATTCACAGCTTAAGCTGCAAAAGGACAAGAGGAAATGGTCTCAAGTTGCGCCAGGGGAGGTTCAAGTTGGACATTAGGAAGAACTTCTTCACTATAAGAGTTGTTAGGCATTGTAACAGGCTTCCCAGGGAGGTGGTGGACTCACCATCCCTGGAGGTGTTCAAAAAAAACGTTTAGACACGGCGCTTTGATACATGGTTTAGTGAGTTTTGCGGGCATGGTGGCATTGGGTATACGGTTGGACTTGATGATCTTTGAGGTCTCTTCCAATCATAATGATTCTATGATTTATTGAACAGCAGGTCAATATTTCCTGGGAAAACAATTTCATTCAAGTGAAAAACATACTTTATGTGAAAACCACCCTGTCCCATCCCAGTAAGATGGAGTCTCTTTAAAGAAGCATCACATTTTACAAAGAGATTGTTTGGCTTTTTTCAGCTAAGTGGATGACCAAAAAAACCTGCTCTTGAAGGCTATGCTAGTAATGGAAAAAATTAATATTGAAATCAGTTTTTTCTCCTTGGAGTATTATTTACTTGTGAAAATAATGTCCTACTCTACTGAACATAGCTGGAACACTCTAACATCAGTCTAGCTTACAGTTCAAAGCAATTTTCTGCTTGACACTTAACCCAAAACTTCATCCCTTCAGATTTTTATGTCAAAGTTCCCAGTGCCTGTTCTACCTGTTTGGGAATTTCTGCTCATCCTATGTTGCCGTACTATTGCCTTGTTGCCACTGTGTAGTCTTTTGAGCAATGATAAAATTCAATTAAACACTGTCCACTTCTAGCTTTCATATGTTTGCACTAGGAAGTGGAATTTGTACATATTGTAGATGAAGCATAGCTCCTACAGGTTACAACATGTTGTACCCAATGCTATAGCACTCAGTCTTCAGAGAACTTACTTTTTTTTCTTATATTGCAGTTCAACTGTGTTATTTCCAATTTGTAGTCTTCCTCTTTGTTTTTAATTTCTATCATAAGTTTCTCAATCTGATCTTTATATTCCTGCGAAAGTAAAAAGCTTCATAAAAATCTTAGAGATTTCTGTGCTTTTAGCCTTCTGCAAAGCACAACATTCTTGGAAAAATGTACAGTACTCTAAAATTCAGTACTTGTTTTATCCTCAATCTAGTAAATTCAAAATGCCCAAGTACTACTTACACAATCTGACTGAAGTCCACAGATGAAAAACGTGGCTGATTTCATTGCATTACAGCTGTCAGTTAATATAAAATTAGAAGTTTACCTATTAGGAGAACAGGCAAATGGAGAAGTAATACTCCTTTCCCCAATCCAGGATCTGATACAACGCTGCAGTTAGTTAAGTGACTACAGTTTTACTTTTATGGATTTTTGACTGTAAGATTGTGTAACAAAAAATTGTGTTTCAGGTATGAATGTTGTTAATATTGCTTATACCAAGGATTCCACAACTTCATACTGGCAGCAGTGGAAACATAGTGGTATCAGCAGGAGTGATGCTGGTGGTACCGATACTGAACTGAAGAGTTTGAGCATGCCTTTTGTAAGTTTGTTGCAATAACTGCTCCAGAGTTATCAAGGGATTGGCTGTAGCTGCCAGTGTAGAGGTGCTTATTCCAAAGCTCTTGTCAGAGCCTTCTGATAAGGTAGGTAGCCACTTCCCAGAGCAATGCACAGAGGCACTCGCAAGGGCAGTTACTGATTGGTGGCAACAGTATATATGGACATAGTCAAGTGCGTGCCTTCAGAACAACACCAGGAAGTTCCACCATGTCCATACATGTATATAATGCATAGAATGGTAGTTTTTTCTTGTCTTTCAGAAGGCATTACTTATCTTATTCTCAAACTGTTGTGATAACAGCTCTGTTGGTATAAAAATTTAATTTCAACTCATAGTTAGCACAAACACAGGTGAAGAAAATCAGCAGTGAGATTCCTAATCCGGTACAGGTTACAGATGTGCAATCTTAGCACAGAGAACTAACACAACTTGTGACTAGTCCTGCTGGGTTACCTCTTTTCCAAAAATGAGTGACGTAGATAAAAAGTAAAGAGATGGTAAATGGAACTTATTATGAGACACAGATAAAAAGTAGAGACCTATTATCTTCCTAGCATTTACTCCCAAAGAAACTATAAAATTCAGATAGTTCTTGATTCTCTGGCAGTACAGCAGGCATCCTGAATATCAAAACCTTATTTCCACACAAAAATGTATTTTAATGCATGGGATTAGATTCTAGAATATAAAGTTGAATTTAAAGCTAAATACAGCTAAGAAAAAAAAAAGTGCATCTTAGATTGAGCTAGAGTTCTCAGCACTTAGTAGTTTTGATCTCTTAGTCCCTCTAACACATTCTCATATTGATACTGTCAGGAGAGCAACTCTTCCCTTTTTACACATGATAAACATTACGAAAAGTGCAAAAATAATGCTATCAGTAGCAAACCCAAGAATATTAAGATATATGAACTGCTACAATAGAGATAAAATATTATTCCTCTACCTAAAGAATGATCATTTGTGACGTACCTGTTCACAAGCCTTTAATTTCTCTCCCAGGATGTGAATGGTACCCTTCAGTCTATCATTTTCATCTACATAAATAAAAAACTACATGATACACTGAAAAAGTACATTTTGACAGTATCACTAACAGAAAACCGGAATAAAGAAGTAACTTTCATTTTTGACTTGTCTGAACTTTAAGAAACTTTTTTGTAGACACGATAGTTATCATTTACAGAACTCCATAATCTCAGTCTCCATTTTTTTTAACAAGAATATTCATAGTTTAATCATAATATTTGCCTAGTATTACTACTTTGAACTGACTTTAGCCTTCTGATAACTCATGCATTCAAGAAAATCTACATGCAAAATTCTTTGGCTCAGAAAATAAAAGATTATTATCATGCCTACAGCAGTTTTGAATTGGAAGATGCAACTTTTTAAGTACTCGTTTCCCAAAAACTAGAAAGAAGAATTCAGAAAAATCAGATAATGGTTTTTTTGATTGTTAAGAAGTCACTTCAAGTTTTAAAAGCAGCCATATACTTCCAATTTTTAGAGGTTTATTAATATTTGTGCTAATGTGCCTTGAACACACAATGGGTATAAAATTAACTACATGGGGTACAGCTAAACTGTGGTATAAAGATATAGCAAATATTGATATAGTTTATTTTAAAATAGCAATGAGTATTTATGGATAACAGCTAAATTTTAATAACATTACACTGAGGATTAAGACTCTTGGGTTTAACAAAGTGATAAAAACTATGTATAAATGCTTTAATAGACTACAATCCAACCGTTGAGTGATACTTTCTCACTTTATGTAAAATTGCCTGTGCTGTGCTGAAATAAATTTAAAGCCAAACTACTGATTACTGAGGCAGGACTTCTTTTACATGTGGATTCTAAGTAGGATAATAGCAACTGACATTCATTAAGCATATAGACCACCAAAATCTGCATAAGATTGCTTTAGATACATTTTTTTTTTTTCCTTTCTGATTGGCTGTCAATGAGTTTCTTTCTCTGAAAAAAACAGTAAATATAAATAAACAAAAAAAAGCCTGTTCATTCTAAATTACAGTACAGTATATATAAAAACATTTTTGCTGTTACCTTTCACGTTACACTGGTTTTCAATGATTTGTGTTAGACCTTTTATCACATTCTGTAGAGTACTACATTCTGAAAGAAATGAAAAATCCAGCAATTTCATATAATTTCTTCACAATTTTAATTTTATATTTTATTTATAAATTTTCTCAGATATTCTAAAATAATCTTAATTAAATATTAGTCTAAGTCTTCTTACTGACCATAGAAATAACTCAGATTATTATTATATGGTTGCTGCTTAATTTTAAGTTTTAGTTTGACAATAGATTAAAAACAATTTTATCAAGCAATAGGAACAATTTCATAAAACTATTACATTTTTGTTTCTAGCCAGAAACAAAGGATGTTATTTTTTTCTGGGCGATAAGAGAAGTTTTCCGTATCAGCATTCCAGCAATTTGATGTAATTAATGAACTGAAGCTTACTTTCCTGACAGCATTTTTGCTGAAATTCTTTTTAATAAGATCAACACTATACACTGATGCCATTTCCCTCCCTCTTTTTTGCACATGTTAAACATTTATCTTGTGGCTCAACATAAACTTGGAGAGATTCAGAATATGCTACTATATCCCCATTATCTCATTTTAAACAAAATAATTACATGTGTGTGTGTATGTATATACATGCAACTTGTTATCAGTTTACATATTTGTATTTCATAATTTTTTAAATTGTATTTTTAATATTTCAACATCATATGGACTGCCTGTAATATAACATTTAGTTTTCATTAAATAACATCTTTATCCCTTATGTTCCTTGTGACCTCATCAGTAAAGTTACAAAACATTCGAATAGTGGGGACACTAAAACTGAGGTTGCTTACTCTTAAAACCTTTCTTTCTATTTCCACAGTACCACTGCATTTCTTAAGTGGCTTTTAATTTCCACAACAGATACAGTATGCTAAATAACAGTTATCTCATAAGAGCAAAGCTCTGTTGAAAATTGTAGATCATATAATTAAAGACTACATTACAAATAACGGAGTCAGGAAGATCAATTAAGATCCCAGCTCAAAGATTCAGTTTTCCACTCAATTTTTTTGACCTTTAGTCTATTCTTCCATCAAGTCCGCTCTTCATGCAGCCGAGTACTTTAGCCAGCTGCATTCTCCCGTTCCATGTATCTAAAAAAACAGTAGAGGGAGCGCAAACAGCACAGAAACATTGTCTGCCCTCAGTTCCTGTACTGAATCAAAAGCATTTCTCGAAAAATCCTATTCAAAGTTGGAAGCACTAGGTTAGCATGCCCATTTGTACTAACTAGTTCTACTACAAATTTTCTCCCATTTGAAAATCGGATCCAAATGCTTGTAATTCGTGCACAAATTGGAAAGACATCTATGCATTTGAGTAAACAATAGGAGAGCAGTTGGTCTTACAATGAATCACAGGTATTTAAGTGCAAGTCACTCTCTTGTCCAGTCCCAAGACTATCTGCTTATCTTTTTGATCTTTAAAGGATGTATCTTGGCAAATCCCTTACAAAATTACAGTTGTGACTAGAAAAAATTACTGGGATCCCACAAATTTTGCTTGCTGACATTAAGGAAGAAAAAGCAAAATTTTGCTAAATGGTTGCAGCTTTGTGGATCACTGGTGTAGCATCTGTTACGGATTCTGCGTGGTTCCTTTGCTGTAAAGAATAATGCCTACATGCAGAAAGACTGAACAGCTTAAGTGCTCTTTTTCCATATTTAATATCTATAATTTACTGCAGTTTCTTCCATTTGCATTTACAGTTGAAGTTATTGGCTTTTTTATAGGGCAACTATATCAACCACTTTTTCCTTTAACACCTTTGAAACACCAAGACGACAAATATGCAATCCTGAAGATGCTAAATAGAGCCACCTTAAGTGTTTCATAGACAATAATGTGATTGCTTTATTTTTAAAAACTACAGCAGATTTTAGTTCAGAATTATAGACTGCACCACAAAAGTCCATTTATTCACCATGGAAAAGGTTTAGGAGCAGAGAACAAGAATGTCAGACTTGCATCTGTCTTAAGCAGATCTGCAATGATTTACACTGAACAAAAAGTGTCACCCTGAATCTCACCTTTGTTTAGCAAAGAACATATTAAGACAAAACAAAGCTCATTTATGACCTTTCAGAACATGTATACACTTGCCCAGTTGCTCGTCTTTTCCCACCTTATCTTTGGTTTGTGTTTCGCTCTCCCCTCTCTCTTGAGTGTTACAAGTTTTCTTTCTTCCTTTGCATTTCCTTCAGAACTGTCAGTCTTCTTCTACCTTAAACAGTTCTACAGCGAGCTTTCCTAGCAATCAAGGAGCCCTCAGGTTCTCACACTTGTTGGAGATACCTTGAGGTGTGAAATGCTATTACCATTTTTGTTTCTCATACTAACAAAGAGTTCTTCAGTCAGGATAAAATCCCATTTCCTCCACTCTACCACCACTAGCAGCCACAAACCCTTCAGGGTAGGCAGAACAATAGCCTTTCCTTTCACAGTGCTCTTTCTCTCTGTTCCTCTGCTGTCAGCAGCATGTTTATTTGGAATCATATGTGAACTGTTCACCAGCATGCCGTCTCTCATGTTTTTTCCTTAGCTGTTCTGTGAATTGCTTTGTGGTCTACTGATAAGACTTACATTCTAAGGCTGTGTTGTTTACCTATCCTGTAAATTCATTTGCTTTTGTGTTAAATTTGTAATGGGATGAACTTGAGAATGCTTTTCAACTTGAGAACGCACATACATTAAGACTGTGTGTTGACACTGTTCATTAGGAAATTGGTGCAGCAGTCCAAACCCAGCAATTTCAGTTGCCTTTGGACCAACTGTTCAAAGGATACTTTCAAGAAATGTGGCTGAACTGGGTTCTGGGAAACAGCCTGGGATGTAAGGCTAGAAGAAATCTTTTTTTCCCAAGCCACAGTTAGCAATATCACTGTGTAAAAGCATTTCTCACAACTAGAGTCTGTTAGACCACAGTAAGAATGGAAGTATCAATGCTACATTTAGTCCCTTGCATTTTCTCCAGTTCTGCACAGGATCTCTCTATAATCCCATCCATAATAAAGAGTGGTTTTTTAATCTCACCATGCTTTCACTTTCAAAAAGGTTTTACAAAGAATTGAACTATTAGACACAACACTTTTAATGCTCTGATTCTGAATACACAGTACGCTATTACCCCTTCTGAATGGTCAATGTTGCAGGTGAATTTCATAAAGATGCAAAGACCATTTCAAAAAGAAAAAGCAAAATGTTTTAGAAACATTATATGCTTATGATAATATATAATTACCCCACCAACTGTAATGTTCTTTTGAAATACTTTTAACATTACAGTCACTGCTGATCTCCAGTAACATGATAACTGTTAACCTGAAGGTTCCTCTGATGGCATCTGCTGTAGATTATGGCAATTTGCTCCCCAAGATTATTTTGTGAAACTCTGCTTTCTGATCACCATTAATGAATACAGTTCAAAGATAAAAACTTTTAAGCACTTCATGCCATGATACTTGAAGTGTGTACCTTATTGTTAAGCATGTTAACCTAATAGAACAGCCATGGCAACTGTCTTAATTTCTAAATAAATTCTATCCCTTTGGCATCTCTCATTTACCTTTCACTTTCTTATCATCAAGTAGCTTTAAGAACACCTCTTGGATGTCCCACATTGTTGTAAGTTCCTGTTTTTCACCTTTTTTTCATTACTGCTACTAAAAGCTCTGCAATATCTCTTGCTCATTGACCAGAATTCTTGTCTTCCAACAATTCTGCCTCCTATCTATATCCGTACTAATTTGTACAACTACTATGACTTCAATATTATTGAGATTTGTTTTTTCCTGACTATCCCTGCTGCTAAAACTTTAGTTCATACTTGATGCTGATTGCTCTGGTATTTTCACTTGGTCTTCTGCCATCCACATTTTTCTTCCCATCATGTGTTTCAGAACAGTTCCAGAGGTCATTCTCTTCAGTTGTATCAGCATAACTATCTCCTCAAATCATTTCACTCTTACCTCATCGAAGCGAGGCACTACTATTTACAAAGCTCAAATCTCTGTTCTGACTTTCATCCATTTTCAGTCCATTCTACTTCCACAGTCCTTGTTGCAGTCATCCCAGGCGCTCTGATTTCCGGAGTTCGCTCTTTCACTTTCTCTGCTATCTTTTATCCCATAGGTTTTATGGTACTAATAACTTCTTCTTTTAGTCCTCCTTTTCCTTTCCCTTTTCAAAATCTGTTTTGTATAAACCCTTTCCTCTCTTGTTTTTGTCAATAATGAAGCCTCTTGATCAGTTTCTGAATGACTGTCCTGTAATGTCTTTTGTGCTTAATAGAGAAACAAATGGCTCTAATGAATCTGACCAAAGTCCCACTCAATTCACTACGCAACTCCCAGTAGAAGATACTTCAGGAAAGAGGGAAAAAAGCTGGATAAACACTACCCTTAATATACACTCTCAGCTTCCAAAACACAAAAATAAGGGAGACCTGAGTGAGAGGTACTGTCTTTGTGTTTAACAAATTTGTTAAGTTTCGCTACATGAATTTTTCTAATTTTTTTGACTAATCTATACTTCTGTTATCCACAAGCTTCTGTGAAATTGATTTAACAACTTTATTTTGTAATGTATGGAAAAGTTCCTCCTTTTGTTTACTTTAAATCAATCAATAAGTTTGAATTCTGCCTAGTTCTCCTATTAAACAGTGAATATTCATTCCCTAGTCACTTCATGTCATTCATAATTTTATAGTTATGAGTCATATCAGCTCTGTTCATTCTCTTTAGGCTGAAAAGTTTCCAGTCAACTTAAGTCTTTCTTCAGATGTTCCAAAATTGTGACCAAACCTGTGAGGACCCCAAGTCTATTCTCCCCCACCCACCTCCTGGGTGTTTGGCTAGTCTCACGGCCAACTTAGTAAGAGTACAGCTGGTGACCTCGAAAAAAGCTGTTTGAAGAAATCTGGAAGAAGACTCAGAAATGGCTTCCCCTCCTTCCCTTGGAAGCTGCTTTTAAGCTGAGGCTTTTGCCCTTGGCCTACCTTGAGCTATGCTGCAGCTGTGCTGCAGCTACATACCATGTTGATCTAGACCCTGGTCATGACATAGGTAATGACTTCTTGGCTTGATTTCAGACCTGCCTCATCACCAGGGGCCTGCTAGTGATCGCTAGACCATGTCTGGCCCTTGTTAGCACTTCTGAACCTGATCCTGACTCAACCTCCTGCCTTGACCTTGGACCTGTTCCCTCACTACATATTTGTTTGGTAATGTGGACTTTTGGCTGACCCAGGCAGCCCTTACTAGGCCAGCCCTGCATGGGTAGGTGGGACTGAGTCTTGGCTGGTGAAGCCCCTGCCTCTGTGGGCCTTGTTACATGATTGGTTCCCGATTCCTTGTCCCTTGCTCCTCCCTGACAATACCAAGTCTGCCACCTTCTCTGTTATTTTTTCTAGTTCTCGTATGTCCATTTTGAAATCTGAGGGGCAGAACACTACATGAAGATCCCAGAGTTTCAGGGACATGATGTTTGTTTCTCTATTTCTTCCATAATCATGCCTATCACTCTGTTTGCTTCTTTGACCACTGTTATTTTCAGAGAACTGTCCAGAAGGACACCAAGATCTCCTTCCTGAGAAGCAGCCAAGTAGGGCCAACCACTGTTTATATAAAATGCCTCCCATATGCATTGCTCCTAGTCTTCATCTCCCCTTTTTATCACTTGTCATTCTGTATCATGAGATTCTTGGTATAACTGAATAGATTAGCATCATTAGAAAACTTCACTCACTTACTCAATAGCTTTTCCAATTAATTTCTGATTATGCTAAATTATTTAAGCCCCAATGAAGATCTAAGTGAAACCAACTGGCAATCTTACTCCATCATGAAACTAAGTTTATTCCTACCCTGTTTCCTAACTTTTAGCAAGTTGACTTGTCAGGGACCAAAGTTCTACAAAAAGATTCACCTTTCAGCAACTCTACAAACTACAGAGAATAAGCAACCACAAGTCTATGCTAAGTACTAGATATTATTTCTCTTTTCAAATACCCATCTGAAAAGATATACTTCTGGAATAATAATAATAAAAAAATCTTAATTTAATAGTTTTCTCTTTAATTCCTCCTTTATTTGGCAACTTTTTTATTACGATGTAGATGCTTATAATTCCCACCTGTAAAATAGTAAATGCCATTTCATTACTTAGCTTCCACTGAACAGTTTGAATGCTCTTAATATAAACTATTATTACCATTCATAACTATTTAACACCATAATGACATATTCTATTCAAAGTAAAAGAAATGACCAAAACTGATCACATTAAAGCTGACAGTAACACAAGTACACCCTATGGAATAAACTTACAACACTGCTATCAGCTCAACTGAACTCAACCTTGAAGGATTATATGCTATTCCTTACATTTTATAACTGAGTTGGAAATGTCAGTGAGATAAAATCTTGAAGGTGACATTATAAATACAAATGGGCTGTCACATTGTTTAATCTGACCTCTTCAGAGATTAAATCTCACACAGATAAATGTACAATCACTTTGGACAGCTTTTTACTCCTCTAGAAGTTAAACAAATGCCTAGGCAGAACAAAACACTGAGATTCCACCAATATCCAAGGTCCTTACAGAATTAATTTAATTCAGCAAAATTCAGAGGAATACTAAAACTTCAATATACGTCAGCATGGTACAGGGGAAAATACATTCCAAACCCCAAACCAGGCTACCAGATTCTCCCTAAACAAACCAAATCACACAAGCAACTAAGAAATATAATTCTTTATGTTACCTTGGAGCACCAGCCCCACCAGTCTGACACGTCATCTCCAATTACAGGCAAGCTTTGACATTTCAGAAGGCAGCAAAATATGCATTCAAGAATGCATCTGGCTCATTTCTCATTGGGCAAAAAGTTCCTGGTGACCAGGTGAAACATAACATTTGTCATATTGATACGCATGGAACAGCTCCTCTGGGGACACAATAGTGCCAGTGCTGACCTTACTTTTCCCAAATGCTAACCTTATTGTTCTACACAGACATCTGAACTGCTTATGGATTAACATAAGTCACAGGCTAGCACTTTAAGTAAAACTACCGATGCTAGTTTGCTTAAAAAAGCTGGCTTTGTAAACTGTGGCAGTTCACTAGAAGCTCAAGAGGACTGTATGGATGGGAAAGGTAAACATTTGGGCACAATAGCATAATCAAGTGTGCTAAGCTCATCTGATCCTCTCCCTCTTTCTCTGCTAACACATTGCTTCCTTGGAAAAGGATATAACATAAACAAAGGAAAAAAGATGAAGAAGAAAAAATGACAGAACATACAAGAGGAAGGTTTTTCTTTCATAGGTACTGCATGCACTCAAAAATCTCAAGTGGGTGGATATTAACTAGAAAATAGTTATTTTAATGCAGTTCTCAAGATCTGTTTGTGGATTAAAGTTATCTGCTTTATACAAATGACATGGATTCCATTACATGACCCAAGATTAACCCTTACTGTTTTTCAGACAGTATCTCAGAACCGTGCTATTTTATTTTTGTATTTTATATGACTGAAAATAATGGAAATATTTCTCAGAACTTCCTGAGTATACGCAAAAATCATACCATTTTTTGAAAAATAACTTACCTTCTTTTGCTGATTCCTCGTTTGATTGGCTTAATGTTAACATCCTGTTACATTTTTCCAGCTGAAGAACTAGTAGGTTATTTGCTTCTTTAATTTCTGATATTTTCTAGAAAATTGGAAAAAGACTAAAGTTATATCAATGTCTTTTGATTTAAGTTTTAAATCTTGAGTTTTAAATTAATATAAAATTTAACAATTTCACCACACTGCGACCGCAAACCTATATTACTTGCCATTCTGGAAATTCCATTACAGAGAAGATTGACGCTATACTTGAGATCCTGTGCTATTGCAAGTTTAACCTGCAGAACTATGAATGCTGACTTACATCACTAGTTATCTGGATCAATTCTCAGCAAGGATCTTTTTACTGCTTTGCATATGAGGCTCTCAATGCCCTGGCTGAGCACCGACATGAGTAATGGGTGTGAATAGGAATTAGTGCCCCTTTCCTGAGAAGGCAAAATTGGCCTCTGCACCATTAAAATTCTAGCATAGAAACAAAGGCTTCTCAGACTCCACAGAAGGCACTCATGTCATTCTCAGATACTGTCAATATGAAGACTTCCCAAACAAAGTCGGTATTATAAGGTATATTAATAAGCTGATACCACTTAGAAGAAATTTTTAACTTGAAAAGCTTATTAAAATGCAACAAAATATTTATAGATTATTTATAGTTTCAACATTTTCTACCCTCTTCACTTACCTTTTCTATCTCTGAGAAGTTATCTAAAAGTTTATCAAGGTTCACCACACTGATTTTCGTCACAGCTTCTTTATGGCTGTGATTCATTTATTTCTGGATCATATAATCCAGTGATCACTGTATGTGTATTAAAAAAAAAATCTATGAATTCATGTATTTCTCACTCATACTATGTCAAAAGATTCCATATGCACAAATGTAAGCAGAACAAAGAACAAATTTTTTTAAAATTAAAATTATTTTTGCATGTAAAGCTAAACTTCAACCAACCTAAGAGCTTGCATTTCTAGGAAACATAATGAATTATCAGAAAGCCCAACCAAAAATCTATCAAACTATTAGATGATATAGTCAAATCTGGATTTTTTTTGGCAATTAAAAAATAAACCTGAGTTCACTTCCACAGACATAATTATGCAATTTTATCTAAATATATTAGTGGTTTGCACATATGACGCTTTTAAAACAAATGACCAATTTCTCTTTAGATATGCTGCTAAAACAGACTGGTCTTCCTGTCCTCACTTTAAAGAGTAGGAAATTCAATCAATTAAAACAATTACTCATTCTGTACTGTGCATATTTTAGAAGCAACATATGAGATTTTGTGAAGTTTGATTAACTTGAAAAACATTACTTAGGTAAATGAGATTTTACCAGGCACATATTAATGCAGGATCCAGACTTTTTACCTGTGTAGATGTTCTAATACTTAGCTACTCAGACTTCAAATTACTTACACATTTTCCTATAAACGATTTGCATTATTATCAGTGATGAGGCACTGCAGCACATAAACCTTACCACAGGAGTAAAAAGACAGTATTTTGAAAAGCACCCATATAATTCCATATTATTAACACAATTCCTATTTTTAGTAGAAATTCTACTTACAGAATCTTCCACATACAGTTGCAACATGGATCTGAAAGACATAGTGTGAATGCTTCTAAAAATATTGAAACTATCTCTGAACATCAAGCTCCATCAAACAAAAATTCCAATACCAGATAAACTATGTATTCCAGATAAAATCATCACTTCTGTGTGGTAATGTATGAACTGTCCTTTTACAAATAACAAAAAATTGCAATGAGAGAGATGAACCAGAGGTCAGAATGTGTGCCCTACCCAGAAACTGAACGGGTTTCCAGACAGAAATACTTACAGTAAAGTTAGGTGTAGATATGTAAATGAACAACTACTAAGCAGGAGCCGAAATTACATAACTTAATTATTTTCTCAGTCATTCAATATTTACAAGTCTTTATGTGTATGTAACTTCTTTACCAAAGCAGTAAGATAAAGGTACTAGTTGTGTGTGTTTAATACTCATTTTTCTCTTGTATCCACTGTTTCCTCAGAGGGATGAAAACTAATTCATTAGCTAAAGCTAATTAACTTGGTTTTTTTAAATCAACAATTTTTAAGAATATATGTAACATTAAAGAACTAATGCTTCTAAGATTAGTGATTTTTTACTAAGTTAACAATCTTAAGGTCTTCTAACTGTAATTACAATGCACTGATTCGTTAAAATGGAATTTGAAGTGTTTATTCAGGACATTCAGTTTTGTGAAACAATTTCATATCTTAATATTCTATTAGATGATAATCTAACTGTACACTATGAATGCCAAGCCCTGATCTTTTCAGTCCTTACCAATGGCAGCATCTTATCTGTTTATCAATCACTGTCTCTTTTTGTAATGGTCTTAAAACTGTGGTTTACACTCTAAGTTTTGACTGAGGATGGGAGTTCAGGGAGCTACCATGTTGTGTGCTGTTTTGTTTGTGTGTTTCCTTATTCCATGGCATCATTTGTTTACTCAGAAGACAGGATGTGCTCAGCACTTGGCAGCATTAGGCAAGTGCTGCTGGGAATAGAACTTCTGCTGAACTGAAACAGTAAATTAAAAATAATATGTTGTACTATTAATGTTGCATTTCTCCAGCATGAAAACTCATTACTTTTATTTTTGTGTATATTATTATTATATATGTTATGTCTTCCAAAGGCATTTTTGTTAAGCCTCCCACCCCTGTTTTGAACTAGGATATTTATTTCACTAGGGGGAAAATTAAAAATGTATTTTTGACCGTCATAAAATGGACAACTTTATTAAATCTCTCTTTAACCCCTTGCCATTCATGCTCTCTCTGTATCCTTTTCTAAATATCATAGCTGATGATTTTGCAATTTAAGGTTTCATTTTTGCTTCATGTAACATGTATTTATAACCAAAATAAAATTAGTAGATATTAATTTTTAACTGCATACCTCAATTCAATATAGTAATTATTCAACAATAGGCACTTCAAATAGTCGTATCATTTTTCTGAACTCCACCCTTCTTTAAGATAGGCACCTGACATTTGCATTGACTATAACGTTGTTTTACTTACTTATTCTCTGAAAACCCTGACCACATTTAAAACAGTTTGCAGTTCAAAATTATCACCACCCAAGTGGCACCCACAAGTGGGGTGAATCCTATTCCCTCATCCGATTTCACAGACAATGGCAACACTACAGAGGAATCAGCTGCACCGCTGCAAA